CTCCCATTGACCAAACTCTCTCTATACACGGCTCTGCGCATACTACAAGCATCACGTGAACATACATTAAGCGCGTGCACATACATAGCACAAACAAACGTCAATACAGCAGCACACTAATCCAAACACTACAGGCGAGCTCTGCGCTTCCGTCTTCTACACTGGTCGTTTTGAACGTACGGAGTTTCTCGGGGACTCCCTAAGCAATAAAAAATATTTCCAGCATGTTCGTATTTTTCCAGCAATGTCATACCCCTGAGATTATTTTCAATGGCTCAAGAGGGAAGAATCTCTTATTAAAAGCGAACGCTCGATCATGCCGTAAATATTTGAAAGCCAACAAATCAAGCCGCTGCAATGCGGTTCGAAACCATGAGTTTGTTTCCCCGCATGGCACGTCGTAGCCTGTATTTCTATTGTAGCGTTTGTTTTTCTATTTGGCTACAATTGCCGTCTTGAATTAATCTCTGTAGTCTGGATATTCACTCAGCTGGAAGGGATGCTTAACGGGCAGAGAAATCGCTTTTCGATCAACCTGAATGCAGTCAAAGCTGCGACTTGCGGCAGGTGTTAAGTGTGCGGAGCTACGCCGTGGCGAGCTCGAAAACTTCTAGTAGTGCTCCTCCCAGCGCGCAAGTTAACAATGAACCGTAGTATATTTTAACAGCCAAATAAAGGGTAGCTTTTCTTTTTTTCCTCGATTTTACCTACAATTCTTTTTTAGTGCTAAAATTCCACACTGTAAATATACGAACTTTCCGCCATAATTTCGTGCTGTTCAGTCCTTTCCCCAGAGCGCAATCGCTCTCGGCGAGGAGACAACCGACAGTCACATTGGCCACTGTACGATAGGAGCTTACTGTTCAGACCAGCGTTCGAACATGACTATCCGCAAGTCGAACGATTGCACGTTCCTATTCCTTCAAGTATGTTTAAACTTTCTTAATGTAAAGCGGAATATCAACCTGCAAGACCCCGCCCCCTTCGATCACGGCCCGACCAGCGGCATCAATGCCCGACAGTTTACGTCATATTATCTTGTTTTTACACCACTGATACGCGAACACACGGTCACATCATGGATAATTGCAGTCTTCTTTTCACAAGCCACAACACTGCCATCACGATGTTGCTGCTATGTCGCTGACACGCAGAAATACAGAACCACGTTGAACGCCTGTTGGCACTCGGCATCGGAAAACAGAACCGAACTCACCACGGAAGGCATGCCCAGGCAGCCGGCAGCAAAACCTGCCTGTCTTGGGCGCAGTTCCTGCGTCCCAGACAGTCATGGTTCGAAAACGTCGAAAACGTCGACGCAGTTCCGCGTGGTTCCGCTACTGCAGTTCGGCGTGGGACCCGCAATCCCGCAATCCGGAAACGGCCATCTCACCCAGTGTACGTAGCGCTGCTGGCACTGCTCCGGAACTTCGCTGTTTCTAGCGGTTTAATTTGCTCGTTTGATACAACTAGTGATCAAAACGTCAATGCAACCGAAATGTTCTGCACGTTTGGACTAGACGACATAATTACAGGCGGCCTTCGCTGTGGCTGAAGCTGAATCAACTCAACAACCTTTATTAAACAACGTGCCCGACGTGCTCAAAAAACGAAACCGAAAGAAGATGAGTCGGGAGGGCGAAAGCTTTCTCCCGTCTGCCTGGAGAAGGAGAAAAACGTTTCGTTCCTCCCTGTTTCTCGTGTCCGCTTGGGGGAGCGTCAGTAGAAAGGAGGAAGACCGCGCCGTTGCTAGATTTTTCCTCCATTTTTTCTTAGAGTGTACGCGGTCGCACAGTTTCGGGTGAGCCTCGGTATTACCTATGATTGGCCACAAAAGTCGTAGAGACAACACTCGGATATTCGGAGTGGCTGTTGAGACTCCGCTACAAGAAAAGACTCTACTCCAAGATCACCATGGAGCATCATAGTACTGGAAGCGTTCCTCGCCAATATAAGCGTCTTTGCAACTGTGTATGCAATCAACTTAACAATCATGCCCATCTCCACGGATCTCTTACAATTATATTGTTCTACTTGCGTATTTAAAAACATTAAGACTATTTTTAAGAGCCTCGCCCAATGCTCTACTGTCAAGCCGGATCATATTGAATCCCAAAATTTCGAAATGTTTTATTTTTATTTTTTAAGAGTCAAGTTACCCCCTTGAAGCTTCAATGTAAACGTATATGCGCCTTGTGCGTCTGTATCAAACGTCTTCACCTAGGGCACTGATGCACCAAACCGCGCACCGCACCTCTGGCAGGGAAGCTTTCCTCGAACACAGCCGTCGCTGCTCGCTTTGCACGCGTTCAGAATGAACGACTTTTGCCACAAACGACAACAAATTCAGAGGTAAAAAATACAAATACAGATACACCTAATACTGCTAACGTCTCGGAATGCGAAAGCATTTGTATACGTAGCGTATATCTTTAAGGGGGGGGGGGGGGGGGGAGGGGTGCAACGATTTAATGATTAAAAGACTTTGCATCTAGTCATTTTTGCGTCGATTATTGTGTCCCGCAGGATACAGAAAACAGCTCCGTCATCAAAAAAAGTCGCGATTCCGGTGCATAATCGCAAAGCAAAACCTGAGCTTTTTCCCCCACCTGCAGCCACAAGTGGCAGCCGAAGGAACTACGGCTAGAAGATTACGTGACCTCGCTCGGCTCTAAGCTGCAGCATAATGCCCGCAGATGTCAGCACAGGGAGGAAGAGGAAGCGTCCTCCGAGATAGCACACGGAAACCTACACGGCACTCCGAATGACGTCACTAGGAGGGGGACCAGGTGTGATTCTGAGGACTGGGAGTGAGTTGGGGGAGGGGTGCCCGAAAGGCCAATATTTCTATTTTTTTTTTTTTTTAAGCAACAACTAGGACACGCAGGCAAAATCGGTTTTCTGTTCTTTACTTCAGAGGTGTCAGAGGGCAACTTCCATAAATTTTTGACCAAAGTCCGGAAATCGTTGCACGTGCCCAGCCGAGCGACCTCTACGGATCCTGCCCGGACGGGTTCTGCTGCCGGCCGCTCTGCAGAGCAGGGTCACCCTCTCCCTCTTACCGGCGGCCGGGCTGCTGCGCCATGGCAGTGGGGTCGAGTTCCTTGGAACTCTGCCACGCGCCAGGCAATGGGAGTCTATCCATGAGTTCGCTCCTACAGACTACAGGCTTCGCTCCATAAAACAGGGAAATTTACGTGCCGTTTGGCGCGGCTTCAAAAGCTGATAACGCAGGTTCGCTCCATGGGAAACTTAATGGTTTCGCATTAGAAAAGTATTTGACGAGGCCAGTGTGTCGACAACGGTTGTGCGATCGCGGTTTGAACTCCTTGCTCATCTATAATATTGCGTTAGCATTAATATCCACATGGCAGGGAAAAGCTGACGACCCCCGTCTGCGGAAAAAATAGTAGAAAGGGAAGCACGCCGCTTAGACAGGAGAAAACTAGTGAAGGACGAAGGCGAGAGTGAGGCGCGGTCATGGGACGGAAGCCAATGCGCGCGCGGGAGACCGGGGAACAGCGAAAACAGCGTCAGGCAGCGAATGCCGCTGCTAAGCGTTCAAGGCGGGCGAACGAGAAAGAGGAGCGGAAGCAGCGTCTAGATCTGCTGTATGAAATGCGGCGCAAGAAGCGACGAACCGACGCGGGTCTGAATGCGACAGACGCTGGCTGGACGCGGGTTCGGCGAGCCCGCTTCGTTGGAAAATAATAATGAAGATGAATTGGAGGATTCTTAAGGAATGCCTTAGCATGACTTTTGCGAAACGTTACACACGTCCCGTTTTGAGAAGCGATGACACTTATCCCGTAACTTAGCCAAAAAGGGGCAGCAAAAAATAGAAGAAGCAAAAGAGAAAGCAAAAGGAGAAAGCTGAAACAGAAAATTTAACGAGTCAGTGGTAGCGTTTCCCAATGAGGGACGTGTGGTGCGGTTTCCAAGGTTCATTCCAACGCATCCTCTAACAATCCACTCATGAATCTCCCTCTAATTTTTAGCTTTTTCTTTCTCCTTTTTGCTTGTTTTGTTGTCAGATTGTACGCCAGTTCTTGTTTTGCTGATTGCTTGACTTTGCCTATCGATGAAGGAAGAATACTTCTCATAAATCCAGGTGTTTATATTATTTTTTTCGCGTTTCGTCATCTGTGTTGTTGACGTCGCGGCCACGTGCGGCGATCGTAGGCATGGCGAGCTCCGCACTCGAGCAGCGGCGGCCACCGCGGTTCTTGCCAAATACGCTTTAACCCGGTTCTATATATATATATATATACTGAATTTATCGGTTCTTGGATGTCCTATTTTGATAAGCTTCTGTTTGTCACGATATTCTGTGTTAACTGAGAAGGGCAAACATTTTACATGAAGCTTAAATGAACGCACTTTTGTATAACGAAATCTCGATATGTTGATATTTGTTGTCACCCTCTTTGAGTTCGATATATCCTAATCGACTGTAGGGTTGAAACCATATTGGGCTCCGAACCGCGAAATTCCACGCCCAAAGGCGTTTCCCAAGTGTAATTACTGTTGAAACGAGATTTCCGCGCCAACAAATACCCTTTCCCGAACTGCCAGGCCCGACGGCGACGAAACATTCACCTTACGGTGCTGACATAAAGTTTGATCATACAAATAGGCGTGTCGCGGTGTTTGGTCGCGTTTTTAATTAAAGCACTCGTCTTGCATGATGGTAAGTTAGGGTTTTCTTGGATGCTTAGGACGCGTATATTGAGCTGTCGCTACCAAGGAACGATCCCGAAATTGCTTTAGTGTGCTTTTAAGCGTTCATAAAACACACTATAGGATGTGTGTATCGCGACATGTTATGCGACACAAGAGTATGCAGTTTCAATCATCGAGCACGTTACGTGTGTTTTAATGCGAAAACGTTTTCGGCATTTCACCATCTTGCGAAAGAACTAGGAGGAATGTCTGCAGGGACCAAAGGTGCCCTCGCTTATCGCGAATGGATAGGCGTTGCTTAGAGGACTCGTGTTATTGTAGAGGTACTTATCCCATAGGGCACGAGATAAGCCTCCATGCCCATAGATAAGTAACTGCCGGCTCAATTGTCGTCAGAGCGACCTCCCGTGCAGACGCCTGCCAGTCGCCTCAGGATGCGGACCCTAACATTGTGCGTGTGCTTGCTCTTTGTAGTCCTTCCGAACACCACAGCATCAGATGGCTATGAGGGTGAGTAACCTGGCGTTGAAAATTATAGTTAGTGAAAGCGTTGAAAATACTGATGCTTGGAATGTTTGTAGTCGAATTCGCGATATAGCCGTAAAAAACGAACAGGGTTTGCAATTGTCGCCATATAAGTATTCCAAAAATTTTAGTGCTAAACACCAATAGAGAAGTGTTTGCTCCTTTTTAGCAACTCACGAAAAGGCAATTGAGCGATATAACTTTTACTATAGATTTTTAAGTCCGCTTTATGGACATATATTAATTTCTATCGTGCTTTGCCATGTAGGAATCAATGGAGCTGGCCAGTGCTTCCTGGTGAGCTCAATTGAAAAGAAAAAAAACAAAAACATTGCGAATCTATGAATTTTCTAGTTTTTAAAACATAGTTCTTAAACGCAGTGCAACCAACTGCACCATTTTTATCTTGAGACACTCCCACCAATATATGATAATCCAAGTTTGCTGCTGACCTCAGCTTATGCGCTGAGAGTCGCTTCAATATTTGAAACCTAAAGGCTCTGTTATACTCCGACGTAACGCGCGCGCTAGCAAACGCTGACTAAGGTCGGCTACGTCACGTCGGTCACGCCGCGCGCGTCAAGAATTCGCCCCCTCTATACTCCGGCGGCTCCCGCGGCGCGCGTCGGTGGGCCGCCAGCGCGGCGCATGCGCAGAATCTGTCTACGAGGGCGCGTTTCCTGCGGGAGTGCGGCATTTCCGGCTCTTTTGGTTTCGAACCTCCATGTTTCGAACAGCAGACGAGAATTCTCGCGCTTCTTGAGCGCCAAGTTTGAACGATGGCGAGGAGGTATCTTGGACGACGAAAACTCGCGCTTGCATTGTTGGTGCACGTCCAAGTCGGGCCCGCTTACGCGCACGCTTTCCTTCATCTCTACATATTTTCTTTGGGGCACATTGCATTTTATCTACAATTTATGTAAGCACACGCGGATAGCACAAAGTCGCTCCCCGCGCTCATCCAGCCCTGAACTACCACAACGCATTATCCCTATCCAAGAAACTCTGTTGCGTGTCCGCTCTCTCTTTTTATCTGGCCATGACCGTCACGTTAACCACGAAAGGTGAGTGGAGCGTTTTCATATAAAGCTTCCCCTTTAAAGCAAATTACAAAACATGATCGCGTCTGCTGCAGCAACAGAACACAGTGAGCACAGTAACACTGTAAGCACAGACGTGATGTGCGGAGCAACGAAATATCTTACCTGCGGAGAGACCGCACATCGCCCGAATGGCCTCCCAAGCATTGCCTTTCTTGTCCGTGTCACGATACTCAAGCTTTTTTGTGTCACAGACACACGGGTGAAAACGAATTCCCTCGACCAGCTTCTCGACGACCGAGTTCGAGTCTTCAAACATAACGCCACACGGAGTGGTGCCCCCGCCGTCTGCTATTGCTCGTATTCGCCGCGTTTGCCGCGCGAGGGCTGCCGGGAGCCAGCGCGTGATGCACCCTGGTCCGGCGTCGCTGGCGCGACCGCCGCGGAATGCGGCATGCTCCATTTTGGCGTCGAGACGATCACGCAGCGTCAAAAGCCGCCGGTCGCGCCGGTTATGCCACGAAGCCGGAGTATTAGCGACGTGAGTCATCGAAAGCGTCGCTGTGGTCGGCCCACCACAATTGGCTGAATGCTGACTATGACGTCAGCAAAATATATCTCCAAGACGGAATAAGAGGAGTATAAGAATTTCAATTTTGACGGTGTTGGCAGTGTTCCTTTGAGAGCGCTATGATTTCAGGCGTCCACAATTCCCATTACGAACACTATTAAACTTGTTGTTCACAAGGTAATGACGTCACGAAAAGTAACCGAATGAGGGCGCCACCGAAACATCTCGCCGCTAATAGAACGTCGGGTTTTCGCCGACGTGACGTCGCTGTGACACGCTCGCACGCGCGCACGCGTTACGCCGGGGAATAACAGAGCCTTTAGGCTTACTAGCAGGAGGGTTGCGAGATGGGCACATAATCATTTTGAGATAAAGCATATGGGGAGTAACTGTTCCGCTAAAAAAGAAAAGAAGAAAGAAAGACGGTGCGTTAACACTCAGTCCCTAGCGCTTCTTTTCTGAGATAGCCCTTGACGCAGAATTTTGCACGAACGTTTTTGGGAGCTCGGACAAAAAAGTGCACTTCTCGATTTAATAATGCCATCACCTGAGTTAACTGACTTTATCATATGCAGATGTGCTTAGAAACAACACGACTAAGCGCATATATAAACTTACTGCTAGACAGCCATACAAAGCCATTTACGCTCCCTAAGGCGTCACTGATCTATTTTTCAAGTGCTATAATATAGTTCAGAATATAAAAACAAAAAAGAATTCAACTTTCACACATCTGAGGCTGCTTATCAGGAGAAAAGTGTTCTCTATGGGTTTCATTCGAATCTCAGTCACGGTATGAGATACACTTTTTACGTGAGGACACGGCGGGGCTGAACCGAAAGGCTGCATTATTCCGCGGCCACCGTGGCTCGCGGCTGACAGTATCGCCGGCGGCCGAACGGCGAAACTGTGTGAGTGCGAAAAAAATTATCTCATTGCCATGACACCCCGGTACACCGTGGTCTTTCTGCACGAGCGACAACCTCGCTGGAGCTCTGCGCGTGTGGAGCATAAGGCGGCATGAGCCGTCTTTGCCGTGCCCACGGGTCGACGAGTCGTCTGCCGGCGCGCTTGAAACCATAGTGACAGAGAGAAAGAGAGAGAGTAAAAAGCGAACTTTATCTGCACTGCGCGAGGAACGCGCTGTCCTCACTCTGAAGAGCATTATCTTATACCTTGATCTCTGTTATAACATCAATATTTAGCTTTATGATTGCGCCTTTGCTTCGCGGCAGTAGTTTTTGGTAGGAAGATAGAACTCGGAGGGCGGAACAAATTTGTCAGTGACGGTTCTTACGGCACTGTCTCCGCTAAAAAGCCGATAGCTTGTAGATAAATAAGAAAGAAACGCTTAGCTAAACTATTTTTAATGTATCTATATTGTTCCGTTAATTTTGATTGATCCCTACATACCGTGAGTCAAACGACAGCTTAGCGCGGCTGAGCATCTCTGCTTCCTGTTTGATCGGAGTGCATCACCTGCCAGCAAGTGTTATGTAGCCCGACCAGAGAGATCAACTGCGGCACATTCATGCAAAATGCATCGCCACCGCGTAGCCGCTGCCTACAATCTGCACCCTTGGACGATTCGAGCTGGATGAGCATCGTACCGACATATATTCGTGTACCGTTACTCCTCAGTGTGAGTAAGTAAGCACTTCGGTATAAGCGTCGTAGTGAGCTGGCCAAATTAGGCTTGTAGAACGAAAACCAGTGTAGCCATACCTAAAATGTAAACCGAACTCACGCTGTCTAGGAACGAGCGTCTATTTTTTTACATTTTTAGGGTGCAGCTCTTAGGTGCCCGCTTCCGTGTTTCGCGGCGGCGTCGTCGGCGTCGGCGTCGGCTTCGGCGTCGGTTCAACCGCGCTAAATTTAGCGAGGAATATAACCTCACCTGAGCTCAAAACCAATACGATTCCCCGCTACAGTTAGCGGGGAATCAAGTTGGTGTTTGGCTAAAGTAACGTCATTTTTCCCACTAAATTTAACAGGGAAACTGAATTGGTGCTGAGGTTACGTGGCGTTAATTTTTGACGCATATTTAGCGGGGAAAAAGTGGGAGGAGGGAAGGGTATGGAGGAGGATGAATGGAGGGTACGGAGGATGAGGATAAGAAGGTACGCAGAAGGAGGAGTGGAGGGTACGGAGGAGTAGGAGTAAAAGAGCAGGAGGGGAGGAGGAGGAGGAGGAGGAGGAGGAGGGGAGGATGAGAGGGCACAGAGGAGGAGGAGAAACATTCCCTCCCCTCCGTAGCCTCTCCTTTTCCACCTCAAGAGCTGCGCTCTAATATCGAGTTACAGAGATTTGTAAACGTCTTTCATTTGTATTGTTTAGGACTTGATACGATAACAAAATTTCCGTCCTCTCAACAAAACATTTAGCACAGGAAAGTAGTGCGAAATTAGCCCAGGTATATGCTCACAAAACGATTAATCTATCCTCCCAGTGATTTAACAGTTTTTCTGATTCTCATTTTGATTGCACAGCGGTTTAGTTGGGCCGACATATTTTCAAGTATACGTTATAAAAACAATGTGTTAGTATTAAGTTTTGAATATCCTCAGTTCAAAACATCAAAGATTTCCAGACTGTGCGGGTGCTTAAAAAAGAAATTTAACATATTTTTAATAATCTCCCTAGAATTTAAAGAAATCTCAAATTACTGGGATCTTTTATCGAACGATAACGTTCATTCCTTTCCCGTGAACCAAATATACAAAGTAATGTCAACCGCATACCGAAATTTGACTTGCTTTATAACGTTTGTTCTCCTTCTGCATATTGCATGTGACGAATACCTCCATGCAAGCCAGTTCCTGATTCGTGGTACAAGTTTGAGTGGGCACAACAAAAACTCGAGGATTTCGCGGCGCGTCTGAATGACAGGAAAATACAACATACGCTTAAAAAGACGTACGAAGTTGGGTGGCACAAGGAAAGTGTAATGATGATGTCTGTATATTCCTCAATACTGCCAAACAGTCGCATAATTTTAGGAACTTCAAACAATTACTTTCTGAGACAATAAGGATATCGGGAATATATATAAAGCTTGAATAGATACACAAACACTGCGAGTAAAATCGTAAATAAATATTTTATGAGACAAACCTTTAAGTTAGTTTTAAATAAAAGAAATTTCTAGTATGCGGATTAAAATTTTGCCGCTTACTAAAAACGTTATAGTCATTTCCTGCTATCACTGCATTAAACTCAGGGAGAACACCGCAATCAAATTCGGTTTGTTTATAAACGCAGTAACAGCAGGTTTGGAGTTTATTCATATACTTTCTACAACAATGTCGCCATGTAAAAAACTCAAATGACATTTTTTTTTCATAAAATACAGCTCTGATGAAATATTAACCTGC